GTATGGTCTCAGTGGTGGCTGTCCTCTGGCCTAAGCTTGGCCTAATCTTCATGCAATTTTAATGCAAATTTTGGCTTCTACACAGCCTTTTGATGCTTTTAGCCTGATTAGCATCTAGATCATTTTTGCTACTTTTAGCTTTCAGCATGTAATTTGTTACAGTTAAACTTTTAGCTTGTGTTTTGCTTTGCATAGCTAACATGTTGCTACTTTCAGCTAGAGTTCTGCTTCTTTTTGCATAAATAACTTAGAATCAGCTAATTTTAATAATTCATTTAGCATTCAGGGGTCAGTTTTCTTTTTCCATCCCTCAGCCAGTTTGAAAGCTGAGTGAACAAGTTTTACTTTCAGTGGACTAAATGTATATATGCTTTCCATTTTTGAAGACTTGTAAATTAAACAGTTTTTTTCAGCGACATGCTTTTATTGTCAGCTTACAAACAGCACAATGACACAGCTTCAGTTTACAGGTGACTGATTTAGTGCGAGTCATGTTTTCTATGTTTTATCCCAAATATTCTCTTTTCCTGTGGATATATGTACATTTTTCTATTAGTTTTTTTTTTTTTTTAATCACTTCAGTTCTTCTGTGGAAGACGAGGGCGTATCAGAGCCGTCTGGACACTCCTGCAGCACAGAGATAGAGCATTTATGTCTTTTTAATTCAGATTTAACGATTAAAGTAGAGAAACAGAGCCAACTCAGAGGAAATTATATACAATTATTTTAAATAAATGCTAGGTTTACCTTCACTCTTTCCAGCTCGGGCCTGCCTGGCAGGGACTTTTGGGAGGAAAAGGCCTGTCAGAGGGAACCATACAGTCAGATGACGTTGAAGAAATACTCAACCAAAAACAGCTGCTCACCTTTTTTGACTGCTGCACCTCCTCAGTGGATTTAGATCTGCTCTTCATGTGCTTCTGTGGAGAAGTGGTGGGACACTAGAGGGACAGAGTCACGTTTAGACCGAGCCCTGAATGAGTCAAACATTTAGAGAATTAGACTTTCATGCACCTCGTTTGGCTTTCGCTCCATGGCTGACTTGATTTTTCTTCCTCAGCTGAGACTCTGAGCTGAAGGTCGGCTCACTTTGTTCCTTAAAAGCTCCTGCTGGACAACTGTAGAGTAGAAGGAAATATAGTTTTATTTAACTTGGTTGAATCATAACTTTTTTCTTTTCAGAGTGGGATAAAAGATGAAAAAAAAAACCTGTGATTTTCATTTTTATTTTGTTTCACTCTACAACTGTACAAACCTTTGGACCTCTGTGTAAGCAATTCTGTTGTTCTACCACTAGGGGGCGTCTTTGACTCAGATTAATTTTTCTTTGGGCTTTTTAAAGGATTTTCACACCAATTATCACCTTGAGATACAAACACTATTAAAGGAAATTGTCATGTTGATTTATTCTAAAGTTAAGGAACATCTTAGTCAGGTAACAAGTGACACTGACTGTAAAGAAAACAAAGGCTGTTGTTTCTTTACGGCTTGTAAAAGGTCTCATACACTCCAAAATCACACTGACTTACCCTCTATGATAGTATATAATTTGATTCAGTTTTCATACAGGTCCTTCTCGAAAAATTAGCATATTGTGATAAAGGTCATTATTTTCCATAATGTAATGATAAAAATGAAACTTTCATATATTTCAGATTCATTGCACACCAACTGAAATATCTCAGGTCTTTAAATTGTTTTAATACTGATGATTATGGCATACAGCTCATGAAAACCCAAAATGCCTGTCCCAAAAAATTAGCATATTTCATATTTAATAGTTGATAAGATAATCATGTGTAACAAAAAGTGGTGACAGAGGGGAACGCTGCATGTGAATAGAGCCTTGATTGGCCTACAACGCAGACAGCAGAGAAGAACCTGATGTTTCTCCAGATGATTTTTATTCTCTGTCAGAGTGAGATGAAAAGAGCTTAAAGTTTCAGTGTACAAAGACAAGAGTTTCACCTGTTTCACTTTGGCTGCACCAAGTTAAAAACAAATATGCCAGTCATATAATTTGTGTGTATTACACCAAATGTATTCAATCTTAAGAGGTTTTCTTCCACTTTTTCAGTTTTTAGGATATGCATTACACAGGTGCTCCAAGGTTTAATCCCGAAAGTGATAGTTCAGAGCTTTTAAAGTGGGGTTCTCACAATATTATGAACACTTCGTTTCTTACTTGTTGTGCATCTGTGAACTGCCTCAGTTTGGAGAAATAGTTAGATTTTGACTGAAAGGCTAACTGTGGTAAAGCATATCATCGTCATCCTAAAACAACGACAATCTCCAAAATGTAACAACAGTTTGTGCAAAGGCTTTGTTGTAGACCTATACCCCTGTTAAGTTTGGACTAGATGGTTAATTTGTCATGATCAGCGATCTCTGCTTGCCCCATCTGCTCAAGTCTCTGCCCCTTTATGCCTTTATCACGTCCTCTGTCCCCTGCCTCACTCACAGCCCCTCATGTCATGTTTTTGCTCCTCTTTGTCATATGCTGTTTCCCCCTGCCTCTTCAAGTAATGTTTTGTTGTCATTAAGCCACGCCCCCATCTACACTTTCAGCTCATCAGCCCAGATTCACTGCACCTGTTTTTGGCCTTATTTAAGAGCTCCACTTTCATTTAGCTGGGGCCAGATTATTATACCTTCCATGGTCCCTGATTTTCCAGTCATCATAGTTTTCTTGTTTCATTCCTGAACTTCAAGCCTTATTATTGGATTTTCGACCTCACACCTTGTTTTCTGGATTTCCCAATTTTACCTGCCCCTCAACTGGTCCTGCAATGCCTCTCTGATCACGGGAACAACCTCCTCTTCTGTCTATGACCACGACTCACGGATCACCCTTTTTGGATTGCTCTTGTACCACTGACTCCCCGTGTTTGACCCTGGTTTGCCCTTTGGACCACAAACCCGCATTGCCCTGCTGTTCACAGCATTAAAGACCTCCCTCTGCAGCTGCCTTCCCACCAGTTATGTGACTTGATCTCTCTAAACTCTTGACTGGTGGCTCACACCCCACCTGCCGGTCAAGACATGTTACTGCAATTGGATCCTGAGTCTCCCCAGCAGCTGCAAATCAACCAATAAAACCGTTTTCTTAGTTTTACCATTCTTGTTGTCTGGCTGAGTTTGAATACTAAAACCCTGCCTTGTGACATAATTTGAGATATTTGCTCAGAACATCTTTGTTAAAGAGATTAATGATCTTAATGGATTTCTTCCTGGTAAAAATAAGATTTAAATTGGGGCTTAATTTGTAAACCGATTGATGCCGGAACGCAAATAGTGGGCGGATCAGAGGTGGGGTGTCCTGGGGATGCACATGCTCCCAAGACGAGAACATGACAAGTTGTTTAATGATATTAAAATACAAATTGTAAATCAAAACTGTAAATCAAAATTGTGCTTTAACAACCTCATCGATAAAACTACTGTACTTTTCGGACTATAAGGTGCACTTAAAATCGTTTTTAATTTTCTTAATAAACAGTGAGCCTTATAATCAAGTGCACTTTCCGTATTAACTCTGGTTGTGTTTACTGACCTCAAACAGATTTTATGTGCTTATTGTGAATGAGTTGAATAAAGTTGACATATCTGACTGTTGTTTTGCTTAATGCATCTCATAATCCAGTGTGCCTTTATAGTCCGAAATATACGGTAAAACATTTTGTCCATGCGAAAGAGGAAAAAGGGGCAGGTATCACTCTCTCTTTGAGTTTATACTCTGTTGCATGTGTGCTGTGGGTGACAAGCGTCCATCCATCCATCCATTATCTTTACCCGTTTATTCCATTTTGGGTCACGGGGGTCGCTGGTGCCCATGTCCAGCAATCACTGTGCGAGGGGCGGGGTACACCCTGGACAGGTCGCAAGTCCATCACAGGGCCACATAGAGACAAATGAGACAAACAACCATTCACTCTCTCACTCACACCTAGGGACAATTTAGAGTTACCAATCAGCCTAACATGCATGTTTTTTGTCTGTGGGAGGAAACCGGAGTACCCGGAGAAAACCCACGCATGCACGGAGAGAACATGCAAACTCCACCCAGAAAGGCCCCTGGACCGGGGTTTGAACCAAGGACCTTCTCGCTGAGAGGCAGCAGCTCTATCAGTTGTGTTACCGTGCTGCCCGTGACAAGCGTCCATAGCATCATAAAAACAGCAGCGGAGGTGTCCGTTATTTATCGTCTCGGCAGCAGAGGGGAGCGACACGGTCCAAGCATGGCTCCCAAAACGACAAGGCAGTCATATTTGTTCAGAGCTTTATTATTAGTGAGCCTGAGAGTCGCCGGATCCAGGAAAACATTTGCCGGAACGCACCCTGTCAAAATGGAAGTTCCTGGATCTTGTTCCGGCAAGATCCGGTTCAAATTAAGCACTTGTTTAAATTAATACTTTTGGAGTTTTCTCCCAGAATAATTGTGTAACACAACACATCGTTGTTTAAAAGCTGTAAAAAATATTGATTGCATGCATCGCTCTAGTCAGAATTTAAATATTTCTTCAAACCAAGATCATCTACAACAGGTAAGCTATTGATTTTTTAATATCTTCACAAAACCTCTCTCAAAAAGATTTTAACGCTCCTCCTTTTTCCTTCTTTTGAAACGACAGAAGCAAAAACATGTAAAAATATAAAATATTTTACTGCAGATTGATGGAAAATAAGCATAAATCGGTTTATTTACTATGCTTTTTTTATAACTGTTTATTGTTGTTGCTGTTGTCCATTGTTGTCATCTTTCTTTGTTGAAATCAGGTCTCTCTTGTAAATGAGTCCTCGAGGCTCAATGGGATTTACCCGTATAAATAAAGGTTGCTTGATTGATAAATGGAGAAGACACAAAACATATCAAGTTAAATAACTTTAGAATTGCATCTCTAATTATGTTTTTATTAAAAATGCGTTAATTAAACATTAAAGACATCGAAGAGCTCTGCTGAAGCCAAAATATTATAAATGTAATTTTAAACAGTTCTCTCAACAAGTCAGATTATATTAAGAATATTTAGAATCGTGTGTGTGTGTGTTCTCTAAAAGGAAACAAAGCTCAGAACATGCACTCATGCACACTAATGCAGGACAAACAAAGATTCCCAGAGAAACTAAAGGCCACGCTGAATAAAAGGCAGTGGCAGCTGGAGTCACTTCTCTTGTGGCGGCGAACAAAACACCTCGGGGTTTATTCCCCAAAGGTTTTTGTTTCTTTTTTTAAAAACAGAATCTGTTTCCTGTCCGTGCAAGTGAATTATTCGACTCAGTGATGAAGCACTGATGTTACTTTTTAAGATAAACAACTAAACTTTGTTAAATTTATGTATTTTTTAAATCAACTCAGTCTAGTTTGGGTTTCTGAAACTTTTTGTGTCATCTTGTCAGCTTCAGCATTAACTCCTCGAGTTGTCCAGGTCTACCTGCCGAGCTCAACGCAAAGTTCCTGAAAGCTTCAGAAACAACGTGGAAAACATTTTATTTGAAACTGTTGCATGAAGAAGTTCTTTTTAATAGAAAAACTATTCTTGTCATTTGTTGTTTAGGGTGAATAAACAAAAAATGCAGCATTTGACTCAAATTATGTGCTTTTTACCACCGTTTTTGCCTATATCTGTATATTTCTATGGCTGGCATGTTAGCAAAATATCTGACATATTAGTGAAGCACTCACAGACAGTAGTCATTGGAGGTACATCTACAACTCAGCCTCATTCAAGATGGCTGCCACAGCCAGGTTTCTTTTCTGCGTGAATGTTTTTACAAAGTGGATGAATCCCTAAGAGAGCAGCTCGACAGCCGTAGACTAAAAGCTGGAATGAAAATGTAAACTAGAATGAAAATGCAGCATGAACGTTTGTTGCTGGATGATTTTTGCTGAAAGGAGTTGAAACCAGCCTGAAAAGGTTTCATCACTGAACTGTTAACGCGAGTTGAATTTTAACCGCTGATATTTGCTGAAAGCAGGAAAATAAAAGCTGCAAGCAGCAGAAACATGGCAGAAATACGAAAAACAAGCTGGATGGAGCAGAAATGAGCAGAATAAGCTGAAATAGGCAAAATTCTGAAATTAGTAATAAAGAAACTGAAATGAGTAGAAAATAGCTGA